TATATATATATATATATATATATATATATATATAACTAGGCGAACCTTATGGTTGCACGGCAGTGAAGCATCAGTTCCAACACTGACGTTGCTGTCTTTGATGATGGTGGTGATGATGACGATGGGCGAAAATATTCAGAAAACCGCTGAAATGTGCACCGTTTTTCCTCTTTCCGGGTCAGCCTGACCTAGACATACCCCATCCTCCTGTTCGTGGTGTTTTGCACGAAGAATTTATTGATTTACGACACGTTTACCCAACTGACTGGTCAATAATTACCGTTATTGTACTACGCTAATTAGAACAACAGTTCACAGTATGTGGGTTAGCCGTAACGTAGAATCGATAGATGAACCACACTAGGAACGACGTGTCTCACGGTTTTGCTCGGGGACAATTTTCAAATGATAGAAGGAAGAAGGTGTTTAGCAGGCAGGATCCCACCCTTCAGATTTGTCGTAAGGGTTAACCACGGAAATATCACTTCTCGGATTATGAATATAAGCCATTCCAAAAACGTCAATTTATACACGTGCTTTGTTGAAGTAAACTGGAATTAAGTTAGATGAAATATGATAACGGTCTCAAACTGATCAATATGTATGCATATTCCGGTGATCAAATGTGAGTATGCAGGGTTGATCAATAATGATATGATAAGAACACAAACCAGCGTATTAGTAGCGTAAACGAAAATTAATAGGGTCAGGCTTGGGTTGTATTCATGGTCTACTATCGACGATGATGGCAAGTTAAACAGAATATGGCTGTAATGTATAATATCAGGAAAGTCAGATTTCTGAAAGTAACCTCAGAACGCCCGGAACCTACTGCTCCACCAAAATCTCAACAGGAAAGCCGGCAAGCATCCAGGCCAGTCATTCATTCAATCAATTCAGCAAAAACCAATGAGTCCTCATGCACGCCACGGAAGCACGACCGAATGTGATCAGCGTTCAGGCATCTCATAGAGGCACGATCATTGTTGACGGGTGTTCACTAATGCCTATCAGCCAGCCTTGTTCAGTGTCAGAAAGTCCCCTTTAAATAGCCTGCCCTCGCACTCGCACGCACTCACGCTCTCCCACTCGTCTGTTCGGAATATAGCTGTTGTGTTCCTTTCTGTGAGTCTTTTTTCGGGCACTGGGCACTAGAGCAGTCAGCAGCGGATACCACAGATTTGCGAATCCGTAGATATGACATAGAATGAATCACGGTGATGAAATTTCCGCCTTGAATTTAGCCCGCGGCAGTTGAAAACTGCCCGCATAGCTCCGATAGGCGAAACTACCTAGAATCAGGGGGAATTTTCTGGTCACAGAGATGTTTCATCCTGAGAAGGTATAAGAACTGCTAAACGGTATCTAGCTAGTATTTACAGAAGAAATTCAAAGTTTGGCCAAATGGGAGGGGGGAAGGTAAACTAACAAACTGTCCACTTGAACGTTCCACCTAAGGAAATAAACTATTTGTCATTATATTCATCTGAACCCAACTGATAGTTGGGAATTGTGGACCCGTTTTAGAGTTTGGCTTGAAATTTGTTATTGATTTGCATTGATCTAATTGACGTCACCAAAATGGGATGAATTTGTGGCAAAAAGATAAACATCGTGGAGAAACTAGAGTATCTTCATATCAGCATGATAACTTCGGTCCTTAAAGATGAAAGCTTAGCTTCCTGAAGGAAGTGGTTTGGGCTTCTGATTCACTCGGAAGTAAACAAGGAAAGTTATAAGATCACCTGGCCATTAAACGAAGGTGAAATAGCGTACCTCCTCATCCGGATGAACATACTGTTTGTTACAACGCTGTGCCTAGCGCGATAGTAATTCGATTTCAAGACATCATCTTCATAGTTAAATAAGACTGAAGACCTTCGAGGTGGTGACGTTGATTAGTTGCTACGCCGGCCTCGTTGTTAATCTGCCCTGTTAGGCCAAAAAGTCAACAAGGGGTTTGCGTCACTTCAGGTGAAAGTCAACGAAGGACACCAAATTTCAGGAAAAAGTGTACCTAATACGTTTCCTCGTTCGATGATCAATGATTAGGCAGATGCCTATCTGGCTAGTCATCCTTATTTAACTAGCGAATATACACTAATCTGCAAACTAATTTGGTTCTTTCGAGAGACTCACCTGGA